CGAACATCTTCCGGAAAGTACTTCATCAGAAATTCCCTATGGAACACAGCCCAAGTGACATTCTCACCTGCAGCTTCCAATCTCTGACAAGTCTCAAACCACCAGTCATCAGCCTCGACTTCTAGCTTATGAGTACCATATCGAACCTTCTACGCTGGAGTGTAGTCCATCACAAGGAAAATTCTCTCAATCTCTTTCAACCACTCCAATGCTCTATCAAGATCATACTTTCCCTTGAACGTAGGCGGATTCTCTCTCTGGAAAGTCGCCAAGCTACGAGATCCATCATTCCCGTCAGCATTCGGCTGATTATCCATTGCATGAGCCATTGCTTCTAAAGCAGCAGCAAGTGCAGCATCATTCCTTCCAGCCATCTCAACTTATCACTACAACATAAACAACGGTTAGAACTCAAATTAACAATAATCGATTGTTAGACAACTACGACTCGACAACAGGGTCGGACGGACCAACCTTTTGCTCTGATACCAACTTTGTAACACCCCGATTCTACCCGACAATTATATAAAAAAATCAGAGTTATAAAATCATTCATGTAAACGAATCAGGATGCCACAAATTCATCATTCAAAACTCATTGCATTCATCGTGGATACAAAACACTTTAAACTTCGGATGAACAACCATCATAATACTTTAATATCTTAATTCAACAAATTAAACATCTACGCAGCGAAATTCATAATAACATCTTTAATCATCGTTACACCAACTTCAAAACATCACAATTTTAATAATAATCAACTTAAAGTTCAACAACTGAATAATCAACAAATAAAGCAACAAGCGTTTATCCCCCTGAGTGTTACATATCAGAGCAATGACACCGACTCAAACTACTGAAGGTATACAACCTTCACTCTCGATTATCTGCACGTTACCAACGTAAGGGCAACATTCAAACAGAAGGGGTGAGATATCTAACAATATAATAAAGCGTATGATAATTAATATATTAAATTAGATCACATAACATCACCACTTCTCATCTTATGATCAACAATAATCTCATCAATAATACACATTCATAACATCAATACACAACCTCTTTATGCAATCATATAATGCGACTCAATACTATGCAAATGCATGTGGTACCATTGGAGCAAAACTCCCATCTTAAAAATCTGGCAATAAATAGAGGCATCAACAAGGCATAAGCCTTCATATTAATATTCTCCAATACAAGCCACCTTACGAGCATAAGCTCCATCTTGAAATGCAATGTATGCGGCATAATTATGAATGTAATGATAACACCGTAATTGACAACATCTTAACATAAACATCATCGTTGGCCAAAAGTCTACATCTTAAAAGCTTCCAATTATTAGAGGCATATCAACATCTTTCATCAACATCATATATCAACATCATAATTCATCAAACATCATATATACATACATCATATATTTCGCAGCAATTCAGCCACAACAACATTACAACATCAATTCGTCAATCTCGCAACGTTGGCCATAGGCCTACAACATGATTCGCCTATAACTGGTTAATCAACTAAGGCTTACTTCTAAATTACCAAACCTATGCATATTACTATTCTGTAATACTTCATCATTCTCATCATTAATCCTACTGTTACAAACCAAACATTAACCTATAATCATCTTGTCCTCATCATTCTTCACAAAAATCAACAATAACGATCAACACGGGAACTAATTCAAATCCTAATTTGGAACCTCGGATTATTCATCCTATTCTTCCTTTTAATCCTTAAGAATAAAATTCATCGCTTTAGCTATTCAACGCTTCGAACGACACCTCAAACGGAGTCCGAAAACTCAAGTTACAACATTCTCAAACTGATTTTGCCAAAAACCAGACAACATGGATCAATGCATAACGCCTTGGGTCGACGCGTACTTAGTTTAACACACTACATAAGTCGACACATCCTCTCTTGTTTCGAATCATACTGAGTCTGCCACACTGCATGTATCGATACATGCTGCTATGTGTCGACTCATCCTGAGTCTAAAAGCACTCATGTATCGACACATACTGCTCTGCTAAGGATATTTTTCTGCAACTTCTATGCGTTTTCACTACGGGTTCCATACTTCAGGCCCTAAAAACACCTTCTAATCATAGAAAATCATCCCTTACAATTATCCTACAATTCTACATTAAATAAATAGCATTGGGACATCATCATACATCTTTCAATTATCGATTTCCTTCATACAACATCATATATAATTCAATCATAAACCAAACAAGATTTCACCTCTAACCCCACATACCAATTATCATCAACCCTATTATAGAGTCAAAACCTCACCCTTATCTTGGATTGAAGGTTGCTCTACAACTTCTGGTTGAATTCTCATTCTGCCTCTTTTCCTATTTTCCAGCAGCTTTCACGTTCTCTTCTTCCAAACCCTTATTCTTCTTACTGCTTCTTCTTCTTATTAATTCTAAAAATATAATAAAATAACCTATTATTCTCTTTATGCCTTAATTGGCTTAAAACTACTACACCCCCTTATTACTACTTCTATTCCTTTAAAACAAGCCCACATCAAATAATATTATCCTTCTAATATTATTCCACCACTTAACAAGATAATTAAATCCAATTGAACACAACACAACTTCACAAATATTCCAAAAATAATTTAATTAAATAATTAATTAAATTACGGGCGTTACATCAAGTGTATTCTGCACTACCTAAAAGGCACTATCACCTCTGGCTTATTGTTCACTCCTGCCTCCACTGTTTCGTTCTCTCTACAGGCCTACTGTGATGCTGACTGGGCTGCTGACCCAGATGATAGAAGATCCACCTTTGGTCCAGCTGTGTACTTAGGCCCTAATTTGATCTCTTGGTGGTCCAAAAAGAAAACTGTTGTTGCTCGTTCTAGTGCTGAGGCAGAGTATCGCAGGTTGACTCACACCACAACTGAAGTTTTATGAGTTCAAACTTTGCTAGTTGAACTAAAAATTCCCTTGACAACTCCAACCATCTATTGTGACAACTAGAGAATAGTTGTTATGGCTCATAATCCTGTTTTTCATGCAAGAACAAAGCATATGCAAATTGATCTCTTTTTTGTAAGAGAAAAGGTCCTTAATAAGTCTCTCATTGTCTGCCACATTCCTGATATTGACCAGAAGGCTGATATCCTCACCAAGCCTCTCTCAAGTTCAAGATTTATGGAGCTGAGCAGCAAGCTCAACCTATCTGCCTCAAGTCAGCTTTTGTAGCCACCTTGAGCTTGTGGGGGAGTATTAGAGTTATATCTTAGGATATGAAAAATCAGCACTATAGAATAATTAAAGCCAACCTTAATTTAATAGAATAATAAAAGTACAACACTATAGAATAATTAAGATTACCTTTAAATGTAGAGCTTGAATGATTCAACTCTTGAATGTTTAACTCCTCTTGTATAAATAGAGCATCATTGCTCCCTTTCAATTCAATATAATAACAGAATCAGTTTCTCTCTTTTCTCTTTTAGCTTTCTCTCTCTTCTTTCTCATACTAACTATAATAGAGGTTGACACAAAAAAGGAAAATACTCATGGGATAATTTAATGTTCCAATCGATTGACTCTTTGTCCCATTCGATTTGAATGGCTAAAAACAACGATTGTCAAAGCCCAAATTGATTTTTTTTTTCAAAAATGACTGCTCTATTCATTAAGAAATTGTCACAATTACTTATGGACGTCACTAGCACTAACCCAATCGATTGGGAAAATGTTTCAATCGATAGAACAATTTGTAAACTTATCCAAAACTATTCTAATAGTTTCTGATTCATCCGGTACAATTTCAAAATATTTTTGAATGTTTTCTTTGAGAAATAGAGACTTTAAAACATGTTTTAGCGTGTATGTGTGATTTATTCATATAACTTTATAAAAATGCCTTTGTGTTTTTATAAAACACATTTCACTCAAACGCGACTGGACGCACTTTCACATTTCCTCTCTTTCACACTTTAAAGCTCCAAGACTTGCTGAATAAACCAATCATATAAGCATTTGCTTGAATCTTCTAAGAGATAAGGCTTGAGGCATCTTTATATTGGGTTCTTGTTGCACTCCAAAATTTTCCCTTCTCATTTTTCTTTTATCTGATTTATACTTTGCATCATTTTTACTAGGTCACTTGCATATCATTCATTCATTCAATAATACATGTGCTCAAAGAATCAACATTTGTGCAAGATTAGGGTTTCATATTGGTTTGAGGCTTCTATATTCAATAAGGTTGATTTCTCTCGTACCTCCTTGAACAGTGGACTATGAGATTAGATTTTGAAATATGATTATTATGGATTTCTTTCTTCTTAAACTATAAGACTATTCTCCATCCAAATTTATCAAAAGCTTGGATTATGATTTATTTCCCCATTATTTATTCAAAGATTAGGGTTTACTTCTACTTAATTTCTACCTATCATCTCACAACACAATAATGGTACAATATAATATACATTGTCAAGAAGTGTATTTTTAGAATAAAATCTATCGTAAAATTAGATGAATTTAAAAACCGAAAGAATTATGTGTTACCGAAAATACACTTCCGAAATTTGAAGACATTTTTAAAATTTCGCTAGTGATTTAAAAAACTAACACTGGTTAAGAAATTCCTTTTATTATCCTAAATCAAAATTAATTAGAGTTTCTTCGTTAAATTATTTTCCTCGTCTCCAATTCCAGCGACGGTGTCGTCGTCCTTCGAGCTATGTCACTGTGCTCTGCATTTTTTATATATTTTCTTAATTGCATTACTATGGCTGCGTGTTACAATCTATTCATTGTATGCTATTGTTTTGATGCACATTGCGGCCGTTGCTATGTGAGTTGAAAAATACTTAATGTAATGATTTTTCATTACATCATAAGTAAATTGAGTTTTGAGTGTTTGAAATTTTGAGTTTTCATGATATTTGAAGAAACATGAGCAAAGTTGTCTCATACGAAAATCACTGATAACATCAATGTGATTCCGAAGACTGAAAATGAGACCAATATTCTTTGACAAGTTTCCTGAACAAAGATTCTTCTCGCTTCATCAAGCTCATTGGATCGTCATACTCTGCCAATTTTCCTGGAAATACAGTCAGAGGCTTTTCATTCTATGAAGAAATCAAGTGATTCAACATATTCTTAACTTTTCTTTTACATGTTACCATTTATGTTTGCCGTGTGTGATCAACATGTTATCGAAATGTTTATGAAGTTACGGGTTAATCTGAAAACTGTTTCTTAAATACGATATAAGGAGAATGAAATTGGATAAAAAAACTTACCATCACTGATTGAAAGAACCATAGTGCAATCCATCACAGTCGGTATCCTGTGTGCTACTGTGATCACGGTACATTCTGCAAACTCCGTTCTAATGGTTTTCTGCAGAATCAAATCAGTTGAGTTATCAATTGATGCAGTTGCTTCATCCAGTACCAATATTCTACTTCTCCTTAAAAGAGCACGCCCCAAACAGAATAACTGTCTTTGTCCCATGCTCCAGTTTGATCCATCTTCAACAACTACACGACATTTTTTTACGAGTCATTACTAACTACTCTCTCTTATCCTATTTATAACGAACAAAAGACACACATTAAAGTTTACCTGAGGAGTTTAAGCCCTCGTTTTTCTCTTGGACAACTTCTCGCAATTGACACTTCTCAAGAACCTTCATATTACATCACAATTATTGCACATTTTCTATCCAAATCAGAGTTAAATAGAGTGTCGTTTATCTTACCTCCCATATCTCTTGATCAGTGTGTTGGGATAAAGGGTCCAAGTTATATCTTACTGTCCCGTTAAAAAGGGTAGGATCCTGAGGTATAATCCCAAAACGTGACCTCAAATCATGAAGGCCAATAGACGATATATCTACGCCATCAACTACAACTTTTCCTCCTGTTGGTTCCACAAGACGAAATAAAGCACTAATAAGAGTAGATTTCCCACTTCCTGTTCTTCCTACAATACCAATCTTGTGACCTGCTTCAAATGTGCATGTGATCCCATGAAGTACTAGTGGTCCATCAGGCCTGTATCGTATCTAACATGGTATAAACAAACACATTATTTACTTCATTTCAAATCCCGTTTTTTGTGACCATTACGACGCTTCACATTTTTAAAATAAAAAACCAGTTACCTTCAAGTCATTTATTTCTACTTTGCCTGCAATCGGCCAATTCAAAGGAGGACGATTTCCTTCTACTATTTCTTCGGCCTCACTTTGTATATGCATATATTGGTTTAGCCTCTCTACTGATATTATATGATTTGCAATAGTGCATTGAGTTTGAATTGAAGATACCAAGGAAAAATTTAGTGCAAGACCATAAGATAGAGCCATACCAATAAACCCTGGAATGAAGGATATTGAAATTTGGTAATTTGCATAAGGAAAGTTGATTCTATTTTTTCGAGAATAGAAGAAAATAATTCTAATACTCAAACAATAGCCAAATTCTCACCAGAAGTGAATGTCCCTGGTGGAAGTATAACCATGCAAAGCGCTGCAGAGGCAAGAAGACCTGCGCTTATTGTTTCTAACCGTTGGATCAACCACTCGTTTGAGGCAAAACTATTAAAAAACGCACTAGCATTAATGTCAATTAGATCAAGATTCTTCTTGAAAAAACGATCTTCCTCATGAAAAGCTCTTATTGTCACAGCTCCTGCAACAGTTTCAGCTACATGGTTAACTAAGCAGGATTTCGTTGTGCCACTCATTCGCATCACTTCTTTAGCTGAGGCAAAGTAGTATTTCTGCTTAAAACACAAAAAATATGCTTTATCGATATTTGCTTTCTGTTGAAGTAATGAGTTTTAGATAAAACAAGGAGAAGAATAACATGTTCATAATTACCTGCAAGCGAATTGTAACGTAAATCATTGGTATAGCTACAATCAATACTTGCCAAGTGACAACAGCTAAAACTGTAAGACTCAAATAAAAATTTATATTCGATCCCACGACAAAAGTGAGGCTAAATGGGACGTCAAGATCCATGATACTCAAATCAGATGAAACCTAAACAAGAAAAAAACAATGAAATTATTATTTTTCATATTGCATTTCATAGCAAGAGAAATTATTGTTTACTTTGCTTACCCTACTTAGTATCCTTCCTAATGGTGTAGAGTCATAGAAAGACATTGGTGCACGAAAGAGGGAGTTCATCAGCTGTAAGAAAAAGTGTTTTGAAGATTGAAGTCCCAAAGCAACTACAAACAGACTTCTGATCAACGCGAAAAAGGTCGAAGAAACTCCGATTAGGAAGTAAACTAAAATCAACTGCAATGTGGTGACACGAGGATTGTCTACATTAGAAGCCATCCACGAGTTTTGCAATATTTGACAAACCATAAACATAAGGTGACCAAGTGAAGCGACAGAGAAGAATATATAGCCTTTCATCTGATTCATATATTGTAAGTAAGGCTTCAATCCTATGTCTCCTTTCTCTCTTTCTTCTTGCTTAATTAATTTATTTCCGTTTGTTTCTTTAATTGGATTTTCCATGAAAGTATGTGTAACCTTGCTAGAAGTTGAAAATCTCTTGGTAACCGTAACATTCACAAGCTCGTTTGAACCAGCAGTTTCCCTGTGAGCATTGACAAGGTTGTGAAATTTTCGGCTTGTTGTCAATAGGTAGTGAAATGGACCAGCTTCTAGGATTACCCCATTTGACATCAACTGTAAATAGACGAGATGAAAAACGGAGATTATAAAATACTATAAGATGAACAAAGACGTAATCATTGCTCTATGATGAATGAAATTACCAAAACAAAATCAAATGCCGGGAGAAAATCAACATGATGAGTCACAAGTAAGACAGTTTTCCCTTTGAGTCCTTCCATAATGTATTCCTGTCAAGCTTCAAAGCAATCGTTTAGTAAAAAAAATAACATTAGACATGTAAATGAAAAACATGAAGAAAAAATATCATATCATTACATTAAATAAATTTTTTGCGGTATGTGCATCAACAGCACTAAATGGATCGTCCAATAGATATATATCAGCGTCCTTATAAAGAGCCCGGGCTAGTTGAATTCGCTGCTTCTGACCTCCACTTAAATTAACTCCTCTCTCGCCTATTTCAGTGAGGTCGCCAAAGGGAAGCAACTCAAGGTCCTTCGCCAGGGAAGACCTTTGAACAGTTTCTTGATATCTTTGATCGTCCAACTTAGATCCAAACAAAATATTTTCTCGTATCGTACCTGTTTGGATCCATGCTGTTTGGGAAACATATGCAAACTTCCCATAAACACCAATCTGTAATTCAGAAAAAGAGAAAATTGGAATATCATCCAAGCTATAACAAATAAGAGTACGAGTGGAAAGAAATAAAAGCTTACAGTTCCCTTTGTATTAGGAACTTCTCCTAGAATTGTTGCTAAAAGAGTTGATTTTCCGGAACCAACTTCTCCACAAATAGCCACTTTTTGTCCGTGTTTAACGTCCAAATTTATGTTTCTTAGTATCGGCTTTGATACATTACCTTCCCATGAAAAGTCGGCTGATTTTATTAAAATTGAGCCTTTGAGGTTGTCGTTAAAGGACCTGCTCTTGAAATTTGCACTCTGTAGTTCTTGTGCCTCGAGGAAATTACGAACCCGAGCAAATGCAACTTTTGCTTGAATGATCACCGTAATTACATCCGGGATACCAGTAATCGGATCTTGAACAAGGCGTAAAGTTGCCACAAAAGTGAAAACATTGCTTGCATGCAAAGGAACTTCAAGGAAGTAACATGCTAGAAAAGAAGCAGCAGACACCAACACCGGCGAGGTCCAAAAGAGAAAGAGAAGGTACGCCTTACTTAATTGCACTGCAGATATCAATTTGAGTTCCACATTTCTTAACTTTTCTATAGCATTTTTAAAATGGATTTCCCATGCGTATAGCTTTAGCACTTTCATATTCACGAGAGCCTCAGAACTAGCCTTCAATCTCTCATCTTGTGCCACCATAAGTTCGCTCTGAAACTTGTGTTGTAACTTTGCTATCGGACTGTTGCATAGCACGGTGAGAACTATAACCACCAATGAAGCTATTGTTGCTAGTCCAATTGCTCTGAAAAGAATTATTATCGCAATACACAATTGGAGGATTGTTGTCCATGTCTGGTGAAACCAGAATGGAAATTCTCCGATTCTATAAGCATCCACAGTCATATAATTCATTATCTCACCGCTAGAGTGAATCAATCTAGAAGAACTAGATAGCCGTAATACTTTTTTATAAATGCTTGCAGTAAGTAGTGCTCTAACTTTCATCCCAATAATTCTACCTCGGAAATACCATTGTCTTTGTGATATGGATTCTACGATCTTCATGACGAAGAGTGATATGACCAACATATAACCTTCATATTTGAAACTTTCATTACCCTCAGAAACCAATATAAAGGAATTCAGAAGTAGAGGGCCACAAGACACAGCAAGTACCTTGATCAAAGCAAAGAAACCTGTTATAAAAATGTCTCTCCGGTGGCATAAAACGATTGTCCATAATACCGATGAACGCGATGATGGTTCATTTTCTCTCTGTCTGTTTACTTGTTCTACAAATGACAAATAACAACTTTCTGTTCGCTCAGACTCTCGTAACGTTGGAATATCCTCATCTTGAAGTGTTTTTTCTTGACCCCTTTTCATCAATGGATTCAACCACCAAAACGATATCTTACTAAAGAATCCAGCTTTCGCAAATAAGGTTACATTGTTATTAGGAACAACATCGTTAAACTGACAATTCAACGGAGCATAAAGGCTTTCGGTAGTGTCTATGACAGTATCTTCACATTTAGATGCTTTGTAAGTGCATAACATCAGCAGGATTGCTCCTGGAAAAGATATAACATCTAAACTTGCCGCGAGAGACTGTTCTCTGCTTCGAATTTCATAAGACATCGATAAAACACATAATATACTAGAAACAAAGAACATGAGAATAGAAAACAGCCACAACCATACTCTTGGGAGTTGTTTTATCTGAAGACTTATAGTTAAACTTACAAACAACCATGTGAGTCCTTGAAAGAATTCTAGTAACAACCTGTTAAGAGGAAAGACATTGTGGTTTTTCCTTAACTTCTCCTCTAAAACCCAAACTCCTAAGCATAAATGCAACAACCCAATAGTGACATTGGTTATGGCAGAAACTAGCTGCAAGTTTGAATATCTTGCTGTACTCCGAAAGGGTCTCGAAGAAGACTTTAAGAACATGATGATTGATAACATCATCAACATGAATAAATCAAAGAAAATGAGCAACAAGTGGTTAATACATGAAGAAGGATCTTTCAAAAACTTGAAATCATAACTGAAAAGATTTCCTCCATTCTCAGAACAAATCATGATCCAATAATCCTCCATCTTCTTTTTAGCTTTGTGTTGCAAAAAACACTCTGCACCTTCAAAGTAAATATCAGAAAACTTTTTAATCTATGCAACAACATCAGTTTTTGTGCGCAAATGAAAACAAAGAAAAGAGCATCATTCATCTAACCTCCTCGTTACACAAAACATGTGACCAAGGTAGGTTTTAAATAATGGTCACGGAGCGTAAAGGCTTTAGCAATTTCGGTCATTACGGATGTTGCAATGCTCACTGTAGGCGTCGTGATGTAAATTCATCATAATTTATCTTTCATCACAAAAATAGTGAATAACGGTATTAATATCGACACCTTCTGATATCGTTTTGTCGTGGCCGTTTTTACGGTATAATTTTTTTTTTAAAACTTGCATGTGACATTGTTCTAACATCCTTAATGTATTTTACTTTTATGTTTGTCTGTTTCTTGTAAATATTTAATTTTTAATAGATTACACTCACTATCCTATAAAAGAAATAGGCAAAATCATGTGAAATTTCAAGAGAGGACGTGGAAAACGCAGATGGACAATTGCATAATGGTTCAATTGGTTTGTCTTAATATTCTATGATTAAATCTTTGTCATTTTCAACTTTTCTTTTGGGATAAAGGGCACTCACTATTTTAAAACTGTATACTTATATTTTACCCTAAAGCCACTTTAGACCCCTGCAAAAGATAATAAAGTATTGATAAGAGTTAAATTACACGTAAGTGGTAAAGCTAAAGCCTCATAAAATGACAATGAACAAAAAAGTTTTATAAAAGAAATAGGGAAATGTTCCTTCCACCTTATTATAGTGTGCGAATTCGAAAATATTTTTCATATGTTTGGAGATATATCTTCAAGTCCTTGTGTTTTAGATAGACATCACATTTTTAGAACCTCCAAATGATGTATAGTGGTTTTTTTATTTATTTTATAAAAAATAAAATTTTTCTTCAAATTTAAACATTGACTCTATATAATAAATTTTTTGCCATCGATTTTTATTTATTTTTTACTTTTTTATATGTCTTTTGTTAAGATATTTAAAATTTATCAATCTTATGAGATATAGAAACTATAAATTTTAACTTCAAGGAGAATTAATTTTGGAGGCAGAATCAATTTTAATTTTGCTAAATTAAACGTTTCAAAATCACTCAGAATCAATTCTATATATCATAAAATTACTTGTGTTTTAGTTTATCGAACTTATGTTATAAATACAAACTATGATTAGTTTTTGTCAAGATTAACCTGCCAGTTTATTTTATATGAGTAATAATCTAAGTAGAGAGGAGAATAGAATAACCTACAAATTTGAGTGAAATTTATAATTATATTAAAATATTGCAAATTTGTTTTACATGAGTAATAATCTAAGTAGAGAGGAGGATAAAATAACCTACAAATTTGAGTGAAATTTATAATTGTATTAAAATATTGCAAATTTGTCTTACATGAGTAATAATCTAAGTAGAGAGGAGGATAGAATAACCTACAAATTTGAGTGAAATTTATAATTGTATTAAAATATTGCAAATTTGTCTTACATGAGTAATAATCTAAGTAGAGAGGAGGATAGAATAACCTACAAATTTGAGTGAAATTTATAATTGTATTAAAATATTGCAAATTTGTCTTACATGAGTAAGAATCTAAGTAGAGAGGAGGATAGAATAACCTACAAATTTGAGTGAAATTTATAATTATATTAAAATATTATAAATTTGTCTTTCATGAGTAACAATCTAAGTAGAGAGGAGGATAGAATAACCTACAAAGTTGAGTGAAATTTATAATTGTATTAAAATATTACAAATTTGTCTTACATGAGTAATAATCTAAATAGAGAGGAGGATAGAATAACCTACAAATTTGAGTGAAATTTATAATTGTATTAAAATATTACAAATTTGTCTTACATGAGTAATAATCTAAGTAGAGAGGAGGATAGAATAACCTACAAATTTGAGTGAAATTTATAATTGTATTAAAATATTACAAATTTGTCTTACATGAATAATAATCTAAGTAGAGAGGAGGATAGAATAACCTACAAATTTGAGTGAAATTTATAATTGTATTAAAATATTGCAAATTTGTCTTACATGAGTAATAATCTAAGTAGAGAGGAGGATAGAATAACCTACAAATTTGAGTGAAATTTATAATTGTATTAAAATATTGCAAATTTGTCTTACATGAGTAATAATCTAAGTAGAGAGGAGGATAGAATAACCTACAAATTTGAGTGAAATTTATAATTGTATTAAAATATTGCAAATTTGTCTTACATGAGTAATAATCTAAGTAGAGAGGAGGATATAATAACCTACAACTTTGAGTGAAATTTATAACTGTATTAAAATATTGCAAATTTGTCTTACACGAGTAATAATCTAAGTTGAGAGGAGGATAGAATAACCTACAAATTTGAGTGAAATTTATAACTGTATTAAAATATTGCAAATTTGTCTTACATGAGTAATAATCTAAGTTGAGAGGAAGATAGAATAACCTACAAATTTGAGTGAAATTTATAATTATATTAAAATATTACAAATTTGTCTTACATGAGTAATAATCTAAGTAGAGAGGAGGATAGAATAACCTACAAATTTGAGTGAAATTTATAATTGTATTAAAATATTGCAAATTTGTCTTACATGAGTAATAATCTAAGTAGAGAGGAGGATAGAATAACCTACAAATTTGAGTGAAATTTATAATTGTGTTAAAATATTGCAAATTTATCTTACATGAGTAATAATCTAAGTAGAGAGGAGAATAGAATAACCTACAAAACAAATTTGAATGAAACTTATAATTGTAGTAAAATTTTGTTCGTTTCAATTAATAATGTGATAATTAGTGTCCGCTAATATATTCTTAATAAGTAAACCAATGGACGGGATGGTTACGATTAACGGTGAATAAAATAATAATTATAGAAAAATGATAATATAAATAATTAAAGGTATTTGTGGTCTGGTTTGAGTAATTTTAACACTAAAAATCATTTGAATTGTAAAGAAAAAATATGTAGTTTAATTTAGTTTGATTGACATTTAAAAATAAAATAAAATCAAATAAAATAAAATCAATACAGCTTGAGTTAGTTTAATTTTTTATAAGATTTTAACGAGACAACATAATTACGTTTAAATATATTACTTTAAAATAAGTTATAATCTCATACATAAACATATGAGTTGCATCTTATAATTTTATCTTACGTCTAAAAGATATATATATATATCAATTGTTAGTTAATTTAGTAGTGATTGACGTGCGATTTAGTAAGGAGGACTATGATTCGATCTTTCTATTATAAGTTGTTTAGTTTTAATAGATATTAGATTAATACGGCGCGATGCATGGTTTTAAATTATTTTATTTATTTTTATTGAATTTTAAATATGTTACGAATTTATTTTTACAAAATATAATTACTAAGTTTATATTACGTTAATTTATTGTAAATTATAATTGAGATAATGATATGAATTAATCGCATATAAAAAATATATTTTATTTGAAAGGAAAATATATATTTGTAAATTTAGAGTGACATTAATAATTTAGTTTTGTAAATTTAAATAAGTATAAGTAGTTTTTGATTTTGTTTTGATTTCATGTCTTTATGATGAATAAAGGGGTTGAAAATGTTAATTGCTATGTTAGCTTAGTTGTATTTTTAATTCATTATCTTAATTTTTATTAATAGAATTGTAAAGAATTTATCTGTTTTTTTGTTAGTTATATCATTTGAAATATGAGTGCTATTGTTTTAGACATTTTTATCGTGTTTTTATGATTCACAAAATAAAATTTTAGTTTTAGTATTTAGTTATTTTAAATTTTAAATCTAAGAAAATATATATTGTTAGAGTAATGGTTATATTGTCAAACAATTTTATTTAAAATAAAACCATTTTATCTTTGCGAGAGTGAACACGTGACTTTCAATAAAGAATACATATTGTATTTAGTATTTTATAATGTGAAAGTGAATTTTAAGACATGATATATAAAATCATTTGATGATGTGCCATAAATAAAATAGAAATGTTTGCATGAGAATGCAAACTTTTATTTTAATATATTATAATAGATAATAAATAAGAGTATTTTAATAAATAATATTAATTTTATTATTAAAATTAATATATCTAATATTTTTCTGAAAAACCACATATATCTCAAATAAGACACTTTTATATATATATATATATATATATATATATATATATATATATATATATATATATATATATATATATATATATATATATATATATATATATATATATATATATATATATATATATATATACATATATATATATATATATATATATAAATTACCATTAATAATAAGTGTTAATATATGTTGGAAATCCACCAAAAGACTGATGAATTTCGACCACAGTGATGATTAGTTATGAGACAAACAAAGAAAAGAAGACAAGACAATTATTTCTGCAGAGTTTCTCTCTGTCACAAACTGTGGAAAACTTTCTTAATCACTTGCAACTGCAAATTCTGTGATTACAATGAATTGACTTACTTGACTTGCTTATAAAAATAGGGGTTACTCCCTCTATTTATAATTGAGCTTACACCCTAAGTCCAAGGCCCAAAATATCTTTTTGTTACTAAATCAAATCAAATCAAATCTATTTTAGACTTAAATCAAATCTATTTAAATCTAAAACAAATCAAATCTCTTTTGACACTATGAATTACAATTTAACACACCACCTAATTCATTGTGTCTAAACTGTCTATGTCCATCATGGCTCTTAGCTTTCTGAATACTTCGACTTGCACTCTCTTCGTCATGATGTCTGCAATCTGATTCTCAGTTCTGCAGTGTTCCAAATTCATCTTCTCATCTGCTACCTGCTCTCGAAGATAATGGAACCTCATTTCGATGTGCTTACTTCGACCATGTGCTATTGGATTCTTTGCCAGATTAATAGCTGACATGCTGTCTATCTTCATGG